AGATTGATTGGATTCCTCTTGAGTAGCCCTCAGGTAATCATCCACAGGTGGGGCAAGAGGTTTTCCAACAGGGTGGGGCAATTGCTTCTGCCTGGAGGCTAATTGTTATTCTCAGTCTCTTAATGGGCCTCAGAAATTCTACTCCTTTAAGGTCAACTGTCTTACCCCCAAGCAAAACTGCCTGGATAGCAAAGGTCTACCTGAGAAAGATGACCTCCATAGCGTGAGGGAATGATACAAAACCGGGCTGGCTGCCTTCTGAACTCTAACCCCAGATCCCCCAACCCTGGCTTCTGCTCACACAGCTCCAGTCCTCTCTGCCCTCCCTTTGTTGGAGCACAAGGTGAGTGGCTGTGCATGAAACTTTGTGTGTTGGCCCTTTAAGAAGGTGCCTGCATTTCCAGCCATCTCTCCCTGGCAGACAGCAACCCTGCTGCTTTTCACAGCCAGATGTTATGTGGGCACCTTTCTCGCTTCTGGTGCTCTCTGCTGGGTGGCCCAGCTTTGGGAATTAGACCCGAGTTCTCAGTGGCAATCCCCCATAGCTGAGATCTCTCTCCGGAAGTTTAGCTACTGTCTGTGGGAGCCTGGCCAACCCTTTCACGCCTCTGCCCTTCCTTCCAGTCTCTATGTGGTCTCCACTTTCCATCCTTGGTTATCAGCGTTCTCTCTAGCTAGCCTTCAGTTGATTATTCAGTATGATTTTTGTGTGTTTAGTTTTGTGTGTTCCAGTTTGTTCCTGGGAACCTGTCTGTGTAGCATCCACTTACTCTGCTGCCATTTTTAATCTCCTTTACTGTGGGTTTTTAAAAATATATTTTTATTGACTTCAGAGAGGAAGGGAGAGGGACAGAAACATCAATGATGAGAGAGAATCATTGATCAGCTGCCTGCTGCACAGCCCCTACTGGGTATTGAGCCCACAACCCGGGCCTGTGCTCTGACTGAGAATCAAACCATGATCTGGTTCAAAGGTCAACTTTCAACCACTGAGCCACACCAGCTGGGCATTCACTGTTAGTTTTAACACATTTTAGTGACTAGGCCATATATTAGAAAAAAACACTGTAGTAGTATCAGTGACATAAATAAATATGACATATCTACAACTATAGTCTGCATATTTAAATCGAAGATTCACCTCGCGTAAGCAATGTTCAGGGAATGATTAGCACATGATCACACCATATCTTTTTTTAAAAATATATTTTATTGATTATTTACAGAGAGGAAAGGAGAGGGATAGAGAGCTAGAAACATCGATGAGAGAGAAACATCGATCAGCTGCCTCCTGCACACCCCCTACTGGGAATGTGCCTACAACCAAGGTACATGCCCTTGACCGGAACTGAACCTGGGACCCGTTAGTCCCCAGGCCGACGCTCTATCCAGTGAGCCAAACCGGTTAGGACAATCACACCATATCTTGAGTGGTAATTGGTTCTGTTGCCTGTAGTGTGACTTTTTGTAGCAGTTTTAATGCCTGCAGGCTGATGTTCTGAGTGCTAAGCCACAACCCAGCTGTATGCATTTGTTTGCTCATGGTGACTGATAACTAGACCTATCCAGTATACATTTAAAATCACAGTAATACAATAAAAAAACAATTTTTTTTGAAAAATTTTCGATGAAATTAAATTTTTCATTATACAAACATGTCTACATAAGTAAAACAGGTAAACTAATCTGTCAATTTCTTAACATGCATTTGGACACCCTCTCACCTGATTTAGTCCATTATCTCGAAGGTGATCTGATCATAAAGTCTGAACTGGGTAAGTCATTGTGGGTAGTCATGCCCCTGTAACTTTTTTAGCAAAAGGTTTAACTTTGCCTTAAGCAAGCCCTGCCCTTTGTTCTTGTGCAACTAGGTTAACACACCTTTGAAATGTCAGAGTAATCCTTTTTTGGGAGCACGTAATTTTGTTAACTATCCTATCATGTAATCTTAGTTCTCTTCTTAATTCCAATGTATAAAAAGAAATGCATGGGGGGCGAGAGGGGGGGATAAGAGATCAACCGAAGGACTTGTATGCATGCATATAAGCATAACCAATGGACACAAAACACAGGGGTAGGGAAGACCGGGGGAATGTCAAGGGGGGGGGGGAAAAGGAGACATATGTAATACTCTTTGTAATACTTTAAGCAATAAAACAAAATTGAGTTAAAAAAAAGAGATTAATGGTTCAGGCATATCTTCATCTGGTTTGTTCGAGTTTTCTGTTTGTCTACTTGTCTATTTTGGCTCAAATCAATTGAGAACATGTCTATTGGACAGGGAGGTAGCTATCTGGATGGGTAAGTTTTGTATTTTTGTTTCTATGTTTGTCACAGGCTGAAATTTCAAAATAAAAGCTATAAACTCGTAAAAAAAAAAAAAGAAAAAAGAAAAAGAAATGCAGCCCTAACCGGTTTGGCTCAGTTGATAGAGCGTCAGCCTGCCGACTCAAGGGTCCCAGGTTCGATTCCAGTCAAGGGCATGTACCTTGGTTGCAGGCACATCCCCAGTAGGGGGTGTGCAGGAGGTAGCTGATTGATGTTTCTCTCTCATTGATGTTTCTAACTCTTTATCCTTCTCCCTTCCTCTCTGTAAAAAATCAATAAAACATATTAAAAAAAGAGAAAAGAAATGCAAAACTGTCATTCTCCAGAGCTGAGATCTTGCTTCCTGGCATATCATCAGTTTGGCTCAGATAAACTTTCATAAAATTATCTACAGGATTGGACATTCCTACATCTCACTATTAACTCCAAATTTTCCTCCTAACATGATGGTGACATGTGTGGACTCTGAAGTTAGACAGCTTAGATTTAAATCCAGGCCTTGCTACTTTCTGG